CTGGAATTTAAAGGGGAATTCCCCAATTCCCACCGGGATTTTGGGATCATACCAACTCCACTTCCCAGGACAATTCCAGAGGGAGATCCCAAATTCCCAGCGGGATTTAAGGGCAGAATTCCCCAATTCCCACTGGAATTTAAAGGAGGATTCCCAGTGGGATTTCAGGGGGAATTCCCCAATTCCCACCGGGATTTTGGGATCGTACCGCCCCCGTTTCCCACGACAATTCCCGAGGGACGATCCCGGAATTCCCGTCGGGAATTCAGGGTGCAATTCCCCAATTCCCACCAGGATTTAAGGGCAGAATCCCCCAATTCCCACCGGAATTTAAGAGGGAATTCCCCAATTCCCACCGGGATTTTGGGATCGTACCGCCCCCATTTCCCACGACAATTCCCGAGGGACGATCCCCGGAATTCCCACTGGGAATTCACCCCCCCTTGGACTCGTTCCTGCCCCCGAACTGCCTCCTGTCCAGCAGATCCTTGTACTGCAGCTCCGGCGTCGCCATCCGGACGCACCTTTCCCGCTCCTCCGGATCCAACCCGGCCCTGACGGAGAATCCCAGGATATTCCCGCCCCCGGGGGGCTGGAAAGGCCGGAGCCTCCCGTCGGGAATGGCTTTGGCCGGGATGGGCCCCCCACCCCTCAAACACCTCCTGGCCAAACGCTCCCGGCGCTCCCGGAGCCTCCGGACTTCCCTCCGGAGCCGCGGGATTCCGAAGGATTCCGCCCGCTCCCAGAAGGTGCGGTTGAGGTGGGAATAGAGCTCCCAATCCAGGCGGTTCCAGGCTCGGAGCCGCTGGGCTTGGGACGGGGATATTCCCGGGGATTCTTTGGGATGAGGGCGGGAATTGTGGGCGAAGGTATCCACGGATTCCTCGGGCCAGCAAAGGGCTTCCCGAAGGAGAACCAGCGACTCGTCGAAGTTTTCCGCCAGCAAAACCAGGGAAAAGGTGCGATCCAGCTTTTCCAGGGATTCACGGATCTCCCGGGAATCCTTGGGATCGTCGGGGAGGCCGAAATCGAACCACTGGAGGTTCCTGGCGTAGTGATTCCCGCGGATCCCGGGCCGGTAAAAAAGGGTGGGATGAGCCAGGAAGGCGTCCAAGGAGGGGGAATTCCGGAAAGCCGGAGCGGCCGCGCGGAAGTAGGAGAAGGAGGATTCGCCCAGCGTGGCCGGGTCGCGCACAATCGAGAAGTAGAAGCTGTCGTTGGGCATCACTTTTTGAACCTGAGGGGGGTGGGAAAAAATGGGAATTTTTAGGGGGGTTTTCGGGAGTTTTAGGGGATTTTTTGAGATTTTTTGGGGATTTTTGGGGGAATTTTTTTTGGATTTTTCCGATTTTTTGAGGATTTTTTGGAGGTTTTTAAAGAGTTTTTTCGAGGATTTTTTGGGATTTTGGGGGGATTTTTCAGG